CGGTGGGGTGCGGGGAGGGCGTTGGTGCCGGTGCTCCGGCGGTCGCGGGCGGCCGGTGGGTGCGGGTTTCAGCTCGACGCTGGCTGGGTTTTTGTTGTTGAGAAGTAATCGGGCACCACGGGAGGCGGGAAGGACGGGGGAGGCTAGGGGTTTGCTGCCTTGTGAGGAGTACGCCGATAGGTGACAGCTGAGTATCTGCCAGCAGAAAGTAGTGTAGAAACACTGATTGTTTTGCCTTGTTTTGTTTTCTTAAAACCTACGTACCCATTGAAAGGCCAGCATTTGAGAGAATCGTCCCGCGTCTTTCAAGGGACGTAGTCTTACGATGAAGCTGTTCTCACGTCAGCGACCGCTTTTAACTGTCACTTGTCTGCAGCTTTCCATAGCTGGACTTGGAAACCCTCCTTGGGTTTGCTTTGTTACCTGTGTGTTATCAAGTGACAGCTTACACATCGCTAAGAAAACATGGTGGTTTTCTTATAGTTTAGCAGTAAAGATAAAGCTTTTTTAAAACCATTTCAGGGAGCTTGTAACTTGGATGCAGCCGTAAGTGTGATTTTTTTTATCCTTTTAAGTTCTGCTGCTGCTTAGCAGAAACTGAGAGGTTGCATTTCATTTTGCCAGTACTGAGGAAAAGACCAAAAGAACTGAGGGATTCCTAGTTCATTGCCTGCATTCTGGGTAGATCATTGTGGCAAGGCACAGTGACTGTCTTTAATACTACTGCTGTGTTTTAATTTTAAAACACTTAACATTCCAGATGAGACCAGCCTTCCTGCTCTTTCCTCCAGTGTTTTACTTCTGTAAATGTCACTGATCTTGGTCTTTCCCCCTTTCCTCCCTTTTGCAAGTGTCAATTCCTCTGCCCCCACATCACATCGTTCAAGAGGCTGACAGAAACATTAGTCTTGGTTTCTGTATCCATGATGTCTATCTCAGTGATCTTGTTATAGAAAGGTATTAGCTCATTTTAATAAAGTATTCTAAAAAAGCTGTATTTTAAGGTGCAATCCAGAAGTTCCTGCTAGGAAAGCCTCCTGAATTTTGTACTTCTTTACAGAGAGTTGCAGAATTAAAAGGCACAAAGCAGACAGCAACTGGTTCAGCTGCTAGCACATCATCTCATCCTGTCAAGAGAAAAACTGTTGACACAGAAAATACAGAGTTAAAGAGAGTAAAAGGTAAGGAGAGAAAAATATTTGTCAAGCACTTGCCAGAATCTAGCCATTTTACATCTTGAATGTTTTTGGTTTGTTTTTTTCCCCATGGAAATGAGTGTGAATGCACAATACTGTTGAGTTAACGTCAGCCTGTTGCTGCTGAAAAGGGAAAAAGTCTGTCTTGCTCTTTCTCTGTGAATTCACCAATAAGGAGAAAACCGTGCTTTTGGTAGTTTACCTAGTTTTCTTCTGGGTTATTGGGTTCAGTTAGGTCATGGGGCTGTGGGCTTGGTCAAAACAGAACTAGAAACAGTAGAGGTTAAACAGTGGAAGCACTTTTTCAGAAGTGGTGTTATTCCTTTTCAGTGGGAGCAAGCCACTGATTACCACAAATCATGCGTGAAAGTTCATGCTAAAAGAAAGATAGTTAATTTTTTTCCCCTTGGTGCTGCTGAACATGTAAGTATATGAAATATATGGAAGTGTGCATTTGTGAACTTACTGCTGTAGTAAGACTTTATTTGAGGGATATTGCTTTTAAAAGTATGGGTTGTAAGAAGTGACTCTTGGCTGTTATACAGGTACAGACGAAAAGCCACATACGTCTTCATCTGGGTAAGTAGACCTTATCACATGTGGTTTTTTTGTAACTGTACCTACTGTTACATTCTCACCCTGTTTTTCCTCATCTCTCCTTCCTAGCCAAAGGTAAAGATTCAGAGAATCAGCAGATCACTGCATCTGCTCATTTTCTAATGTGGGTGTATGTTCTTGAACGTGGCAGCATCTTCCTCAGTGCAGATGAGAAAATCATGGTATTAACTCTAGAGTCTGTGACAAAACAGGAATTATTTTACTGTCACTTTTAAGGATTAATATGTGGTGGTATTATGCAGTTTGCTAGAATGACAATAACTGGATTGTGGCATGCACTTTAATCTTCAGTGCTAGCATACTGCAGAAGGGATGGTAGTCTGAAATTAAGACAAATTTTAAATGTACATTTAAATGATACCTATTTACAAAAACTACTAACAAATATCATCAACAGATCTTTGTTAAGATGTTTTTGTCACTTAAGTTCATGTAAATGCATATCTTGCAGTTGAACTCTCACAAATATAGGAGTGTTATTTGACTTCAGGGGATTGAGTTAAGCATCTTACTGGCACTAATGATTTCTGGTGGTATTTGGACATCTTTGTGGGTTTGGTAAATGTCACACAAGGCCTGCAGGTCTCCTGTACACTTCTTCACAGGATAAATTATGATTATCTTGCATTGGTGTTACATGCTGTTATCCTGACTCTAGAAGACACTTACCTTGTGGAAATTTTGAGTGTGTGCGCAAAATTAACATTTGAGAGGTTTGTTCATTATTAAACTGATCGGTATGATTATTTTAAAATATAACCTGGAAAAATGTTTGGCTTAGAGGCCTGCAGCTATTCTAAGCAAATCTGGGTTTTCTCATTGCTGAGCCTGTGTGGCCCTTCTAAGCTCCAGTTCTCAGCCTCAGTAGGTACCCAAAATAAGTAGTTGTGTTTATACGTGAAGTTTGTCAAGGTTTACATGACATTAATATGACTTCTGAACTATGAATTTTGTATTTAATGTGTTCACAGCAGATATACAGGTGCAAATAACTTTGAATGTGGAAATAGAGTTACCTAAGCTGCCATTCCTCCAAATGCACTTTGTTATAGGATATTTTTATTAATGTTTCTGTTATTGAATATTCAAACACAAAAATGGAACTGAAACATGTTTTCAGAATTAACCTGAGCATTCCTGGGGAACTTCAAAAGAAAGCAACAAGTACGTGCTGCCTTCAGACAATGGTTACATCAGTAGCTGCACCGTTTAGGGTATTGCGCAATATCTAAAAGATTGTATTGCTCACAGATTGAATAGGCTTCGGATGCTAGACCGCAACTGATTTTTGTGAGGTTTGAAATGGTTATGTTGTGTGTTCTTTACTAGGCTACCAGCTGATTTTTTTGATGAAACAAAGCAAGATAGTGCAAACGAACAGCTTTCAAAGGGTTCAGGTCCCAGTTTATTGTCAGGAAATTACGGTGGTGATGATGATGATGATGAAGAGGAGGAACAAGATCAATCAAAGAAATCCTGTGTTATGCATAAAACTGAAATTCCACCTCCAACTCAAGAAGTAATAGCTAATTCTCTGCCTGCAGGTAATGATGACTGAAACAGTAAGTGATTCAGTAAGGAGAAGCTGTGTTTTAACTGATGATGGAAGGGTTTTCATTTATTTTTCTAATTATTGCTATTAGCTGGTTAGGGTGTGTTATATTAGAAGTAGAGAAAGGAGATTCTTTGCTAGCTTGTTATTGTGTGGTGTTTTCTCAGCATGCTTATTGATTTTATGTTCTAACTGTTTGAGGCTGTCAAGTGAAATAATGTCTGGCTGTTCTTCCCGTGATTCAGTAAGGTATTAACTAAAATTCCTGTCTAGTCAGAACTTTATAAAGAAGCTTGAACAGTTCTTTTTGTTCATAGGCTTCTGTCCTTTCTTCTAGACTTCTTTGACAGCCAAACTACAGCTGCTCCTATAGTTTCCCATTCAGGATCCATACAGAAAGCAGAGATACAAGAGAAGATAGTGGAAAGGTAAGCAGTCAAATCAAATATTGATAAATTTGGGAATTGTAAATAAATGTTATCCTTCCAGGAAATACAGACTGTGATGACTTAGAAATCTGTCATATTGTTAATTTTTATTCGGAATAGTTTATATATATATCAGCATCTAGCATTACTTCAGACAGGTATTTCACACCCTGAGGGCAGGATAAGAGATGGAGCAGTGCCATACAGTGTCAGTTAGACATCTCTATTTGCGATTTTTAACACAGGGTACTTTTGAAGCTTAGTGTCAACCACTGCTTTTAACTGTTTAAAGAAAACCATTTGCCTGTACTGTAGTAATGGTTCAGCTCACTTGGGCACTTTTTTAGACAGTGGTTTAGGCTTTCAAAAGTAGAGACTGTGCTGCTAAAATGTTTGGGTGCTCAGCACACTGGAAAGAATAGTTTAAGAAGCCTAAGCTCTTGTTTTGACAGTGAGGTTTAAGCTTGTGCAGTTCCATGTAAGTTAGATAAGACCGAACTGAAGAAACAAGTTTTGATGGTTGTAGGTTAAACTCGGGGCATAAAAAAACTTGCTTCATTTCTAGGTCCTTTTATAAAAGATTATGGATTTTATTCTTGACTATTCTTAACTCTACAATAAAGCAGGTTGTAAAGTGTTAGCTTGGGATAATAGTAACCAAATATTTCAGGAAAGAAAACACTGCTGAAGCTTTGCCAGAAGGTTTCTTTGATGATCCTGAAGTGGATGCAAAAGTAAGTGATCTGCTTATTTTATGCTGCTGGATTTATTTCTGCCAGTTGTACTAACTTTCTGAGTAGTGAAGATGCTTTTCCAGGTAATTAGTCATACCAGAATAAAAGAAAATGACTGAACTATTTTGGTTCGTATTAATTAGAAGACGTGAAAAGGGGCAGAGGAGGGCAGGAAGAGCTTGTTAAATCATCTCTCAGAGTGTATTTTTGATTGTGGTTCCTTTGTGGCTCTTAAAGAAAACTAAAGAAGTGTTACTTGTTGGCTAAAATGCTGGACTGAGATTTGAACAACCCTTTTATTTCTTTGAGTCATCCCGGGAAAAACATTTCACTGAATTTGTACATCCAGTTCTGCCTCTGAATTGAGGATATAAAAATAGTTGTCTCCTTTGAGAGATCCTGTTGAAAAGTGTTAGGAGTTAGTATGCAACTGATACTATGCATCCTGTTAGAATGAAAATAGGTAAATTATGGCATACACTGTGATCTCTAGTACTGGCATGCTACAACAGTGATCTTGCTTTTCAACCCTCTTGTCTTTTACGGCTGTGGGTTTTTTTGATGCTTGGAAAAGAAAAGAAAGGTGCACATTCAGTGTGTTTCTCAAAAAAATCACAACTAAAAATCTTGGAATTTTGATAAATCATTCATGCTTCCTTCAACTTGCACAGTACCAAATGATGACCAAAGTGAACACTGGTATTTGAAATACAAAGCTGCTTTTTTTTTTTTTTTTTTGGTAAAATTTACCACAGATTTGATGACTTTCTTGCGTGCTTTATCGAAATAATAGTGGTGTAGGCTCAAAGTCTTTTTTCTTTTCCTTGAGTACATTTCCCTATTTTTCACACTGTGGAAGGCTGCTGGTGTATTTAAATTGGATTGTGAGGTCGAGCCATGACTTCTGATTTGGAGACCTTCCAAATAATGCTTCTTTATGTTCAGTTAGTTCCACTTTCACAATTAAAAGCTTAGGTGTCTCTTATTTGCTCTGGCAAGATTCTTTTGGCACCTCTCATGCCCACGTATTGGCATATGCGAATGGTTTTAAGTAATGACATTCTGAATATTGAATTATGTAACTGAAAAAGATGCACTGCTTTTTTTTTTTTTTTTTTTTTTGCTTATGACTAATTGGTATGTTACACTTTTCAAATAT